TCAAAGTCTACATTAAAGAAATGTGGTTAAAAAGTCTGATCTAGGTCATGAGCTTAAGAAGGAAATTATTAAGGCAGTCAGAAGCAAATTGTGAGGTTTAAATGCAATATACCATGAAACAAGTTTGGGCTAGAAGCTGAGTGATGATAAAGGAGTCAAAATAGGAGCTTGATAAAGCAAAGTGAGTAATCCCCAGGTGTATAAAGTATAAGCTCGGCTGCCCAAAGCTAGAGGTTTGAACCCACTCAGAAGAAATATCCGGTGATCTACTTCCCGAAATGAACTACAGAAAGCCCTGCGGAGCATCTTTCTCCTCTGACACACATAGGGCTACAGTGAGTTGGAATTGGCTTGATGGTCACTGGGGAAGGGAGCCTGTAGGGCACAAGGCGAGGGCCACAATGATCTAAGAGCATCAATATTTTAGGAGTTGCAAGATTGCTCTTGGGAGGAGATTCAAAAGTATACTCCTTGGAAACATACTAGGTCAGGGATTGTAACTCAAGTAGTGCTTGAGGAAACCAATTTGGCTGGAGCCCGTGTAGCTAAGGGAGAAGGCAAGTGGAGGCAGTTGGAATACCCCTTAACTGGGCCCTCACAGCTGGTTCTGAAAGGGCTCGGGGGAACTACAATGCAGCAGTGCATTCAGCAATGAGGTAATAACTGGCTGAATCTGAATGAATTGGGTGAAGGGGAATGAGATGACAATGTGAATTATTGGCTCTGAATCTGCCTGGCAAAGAGACTAGCAATGCAGTTGGCAGAAAGAAAATTTCAGGAAGATGAACTCTTTTGGAGGAAAGAGACAGATTGAGAGTCACACCAAATCTTTTACAAAGTGTTAAGTGGGCAGTAGGGAATGCTGGACTGTAATTCAGGAGAGAGCTGGGAATTGCAGGCAGAGCTACCTGCCAAGGGAGGGTGGATATTGAAGAAGAAAGTGGAGAGAGAGAAAAGGAAGTGAACATGGGATAGGAATGCCAACACTCCAGGGACACGAAGACATGCAGTCAATGGAAGGCATAATGGAGCAGTCTAAGGAGAGGTGGGTCACTTACAGCCAAAGTGTTCTCACCTCAAATTCACAGTAAAGGCCTCCAACCTGGAGCTCTGCCTTGCTGCAGCTCCCAAGAATGTGTTCTCCACGGGGCAGCCAGTGTGGTTTTAAAATGTGAATTGTATCACATGACAACCAAATTTGAGATCTGCAATGGCTTTTCATTACGCTAGGAAAGATAATCAGGTTCACAGGCTCCTGGTATCAGTCCGGAGTCGGCCAGCTATCTCTTGGACTTCCTCTCTCTCCAGCCCCCTCATCGCGCACTGCACTCCAGACATGGTTGTTTCTATTCGCAGGGCTTTGAAAACTTGCATTTCCTTTCATTCCTTTTGCTTTCAATCTCTTCCCTCAGTCTGCTGTGAGGCTGCTCCTCCTTTACTACCCAGGTCTTACCCAATGGTCTTCTCTTCATCAAGGCCTCCCTCAACCTCCTGCTACCACCGTGGGCCTTCCACTTCATCTGGTTCTCCAAATACCACCAGACTCTTTTCTCCGCAGAACCTCTCCGTATTTGAAATGATCATGTTTGATGGTTTTTCATTTTTAAAAATGTTCGTGCTTACTATTTACCCAGCTCCTCATGAGTACAAAAGATGTCTTATTCACAGCACTGTCTTGAGCACACGGCAGGGGCTTCGTCGATCCTTGTGGCTGGTTGGTTGATTTGAGCTTTTGGGCTGTCTGGGTCTTCTGGGTTTAGATTTTCATCCCTCCTCCTGTTGTTCCTTTTTCAGTGAAGATCTACCTGATACCTTGCTCTATATCAACCTCCATCGGTATTGTCTTTCACAAAGCCTTGTTTTTCCCTTCCAAGCACTTGTACAGTTCATAATTATAAATATATTATAGACTCTCTATTAGATTTCTAAGTTCCCCGGGGTAGATAATGTCTAATTTGGTGACAAAGAATACCCTGTTCAAGACCCAAAGTAGGTGCTCAGTCACTCCCTTTGTCTCACAGATTGAAGCATTGTTATGGATTGAATTATGTCTTAAAATTATATGTTAACAACCTAATCTCTTATTGTAGATGACTTGTCATGCTGTAAAAAAATACCTTAAATTGATAGCCTTAAGAATATACATTAAAATATGTGTGTGTAAGAATATACATTAAAATGTGTGTGTATACACACACACACATATATATATACACACACACATTTATTTTTTCACAGTTTTAGAGTCTAAGAGTCTGAACCAGCTCTCAGGTTGATGATTTCTTGTTAGTAACTTGGGTCTTCACTGCTTGCTTGGTGTGGTAAATGACAGTTGGTTGCTTGGCTTGTGGATTATCTTTCTATGGCATCTATCTTCCATTTGTATGGACACATGGCTCTGTGCCTATGCTACTCTTTGTATAATTCAGAAGTGATTAAGTTTGGGATCCAACCTACACCTATATATCCTCTACTGACTGATTATGTGACATTAGGTCACATTATGAAAGGTGATTACACTATGTAAGATTAGATCACACCCATATGTCTATAAGAAGGAGCTTTCTATGCAAGAGCAATTGAATATTGAGAAAACATCCCAGCCCAGTTCAGACCAAGTCCATAAGTCCAACATTAGCGTGTATGTCAAATAACAATCTATAAAGTCCTCTTCAGACTCATGCACACATGCAATGACAGTGAATGCTGGAAGATCACAGGCCAGTGGTTGAAAGTCTTGTGGATCCAGCGCCAGTGCTGGCAAGGGTCTCCACGTGGCTCGTTCAGCGCCTAGGCTCTAACATAGCTCCATGTGCCTCGTCCACAGGAATGTATCACAGGAAGTGAGCATGTGTCCAGCCTCCAGTGAGCTATTTATCTCCTTAGTGCATCCAAATGAGGTCATCAAGCTGCAAACTGATTGACAGGTTAAACTCTACCCCTTCACTCTTAAGTCTCAAAATGACAACAGATTATGTAACTACCACAGACTACCCTTCATCAATTTGACACTTTCACACAACTCTTTAGCCATATATAATTTCCAAACCAATAGTAACATCATATCTGTACCTAACAGGATAAAACCAAAATGCATACAATTAAAAACAATGTGCAATCCTCTATAATTTAATATTATAGAATATTACACATAAAATTCTATAAGTGACAAAACAACAATATTCTATGCCTAACAATTGCAGTTAAGTAACATCTACACCTTAATCCTACAAGCCTATGAATATATCCCAGCACCTATGAAAGTTTGTAAGCCAACCACGTCACGCTTTTATCCTCTCTATTTTGGGTATCCAATTTCTATGCTGCCCACTTACATCAACCCAGTGCTCTGAGGGGCAATCAGGTTCTTTGATGGGAAGAATCTTCTTTCCAGTTGGAACCTTGTGAGTCTGCATCCAGAAGCAAAGTCAAAACAGGACAGGCCGTCCATAAAGACTGAAGCAAAATGCTCTAGTTCACAGGCTGACAAATCTTCTCTTCACCTGGTCGGGTTCTGGTCACCTCAATGTGGACGGCCTCACTTAGCCTCACCAGGGTGCCCGTTGGTCACCTTGTCTTTAGACTATGGTTCCATCACAAATTCTCAACAACCCATGGTGGGCCGGATTGCCATCTGATCACTTATTTCTCCAGTCCAGTTACACTGTGCAGACCTGTTCAAATGGTCCCCCTGTGAGTAGTTTAAGCTGCTACAAGGAAAACAAGAACAAAAGGCAAAGTGGGCAACATACATTTACACCAAAAATTTAACACAACATGATATATTCCTTAACTCAGGCTTGAAGGAACAGTGTTCATGGGATGGGTACTTCCCTGGAGTGAGCACTGTGAGGCTCCGGCAGTAACTTAGCTCATATGACCATGCCTGTGCTCCTGGTTAACTGCTATTGACTCAACTCCTCCCTCCTGGGAACCCTGCACATATTGGAACAAAACACTGCCCTATGCTGCACCATCCCTCGATTGGTTGCCACTGTCATCCACAGTTTTTCTTCGGCTGGTTTTCAAAAGTAGAGTGCGAGGTCTTCATTAATGCTCTCTATGTTACCTCTCTGGTTTCTAATACCCATTTCAAGGGCTACACAGAACTCACAGACAAAATTCATGATTAAAGCATTTATTCAAGAAGTTAATAATCTTTCATGGCAGTGAGAAATGCTCAGAGTTGATGTTTATCTGGACATGTTACAAAGTCCTTTCAGGTCTGTTAATAAATGCCCAAAGGGGCACAGTGCTCTTCTAGAAGCCTTGACCCAAAGATGCTCAGCCAAAGTGTCATGGGTCAGCAAACCCAGCTCTCAGAATTAAGTGCATTGAGGCACCCATTCCAGTAAGCCGCAGTCCAAAGACATTCAGTTCTACTTCCCAGGGTCTACACCCAACTTCTCCAATTAAGGACCAGCGGCACCCCACTCTGCAAGGAAGGCTCGTGCACAAAAGCACTCAGCTTTACTTGTTCTGTGGGTTGGGAAGTCCATCACTCTGTTCCATGCTCTGCCTCTTGGCTCTGCTGCTGCTCCTCTGATGTTACAGCTGTCTTCTGGATCCAGGAGGTTCACTGCACAGGGATCTTGGATCCAGAAGACACATTTCACTGCTGGTTCTTGCTGTTAATGAGATCCCCTCCTCCTGCTTCTCAGAGGGCTCATTTAATACACAGCAGGATAGCATTGCAGGGATCCTGCCCACAATTACTCAAAGGCCAATCCTATCAGTATCTTCCCCAACCTTCTTACCAGATCCATGCAGAAAAAGGTCGTTTGGTAGGAGTTAGAGGCTTCGGCTAGAAGAGCCATATTAAATAATTCACTACCTCTACATAGATTATCAGATTTTTCTTTCTAGTCTGCCATGGACTGAGAGCTCTGCTGAAACCTTTTTAGCCTCAAGCCACACAACAAACTCCCAATGACTGACAGACAGACAGACAAGCAGAGCCTGCATGTGAGGTGCTGGGAGTGTCTCATACTGGAGGTTAGAATTTTGCCATTGGGAATGTGTCTCTTATTTACAGGGCAGGGAAAGGATTGCCGTGGGGTTAGTTGTCTTGAGTCCTAGACCCAGAACACGATCAGATTTCTTCATACTTGCATGAGGATGCTGAACTAGATTTTCTAAGGCTCTTCTGCATCTAACACAGTCAGATACAGCATCTGGCATAAGCCCTAGCCTCGAAAATGATGTTCGCATTCAGGTTTCTCACTTAATGGGCATCTCCTTGGGTGAGCCAGGCACTGTCACACTCCACCCCGAGTGCCTCCAACCAATAGAATCCCCTCTCGGATTTGCCGAGCTCGGTCTCCCAACTGAAACTCCAGCTCCTCCACCTGCTGCCGCAGGGCCACCCGCAGTGTCTGCAGTTGCCTGGTCTCCTCCCTGCAGGGGAATAATAGAAAACAACCACTGGTAACAGTCGCCCGCAGGCGCCGTGTTCCAGGGTTCTTCTCATAATGTAGGTCACCCCACTGAAGTTTGTTAAAAAAGAGAGCGTCACCTTTCTTTGCACCAGTTGCAAGCTCATTTCTAGGACAGGGTGGGGTTTTTTTTCTGCAACAACTCAATTGAATTATAATTTGCATAGCATAAAATTCACCTGTGTTAAGAACACAATTCAATGAGTTTTTAATACATGGACTGATACATCACTCCCACCCAATTAAAAAA